TATAATTATATTGCTTCGTGCACGTTTACGCTTACTCTCGTTAGGCGATTTTACACGTTTACTTACTCCTTAGCTTATTCTTACAGGTTAATACGTGTTAGCAGGTTAGTACTGTCTTCTCCCAGTCGTGTGCTTCGCGGCTCGTCGCGAGTTCGTGGGTTGCAGTGCGTCTCCCTGTCAGTGCGGTAGGCTATAGTCTTTAGCTATAAGGTATACTTCTCGGCGTCGTCCTGCTTGTTGAGCGTTCTCCCTCGACTGTGTGTGTGCGCTCTGGCTCGAGCGTGATCGTTCGTTCGTTCGTTCGTTCGTTTCGTTCGTTCGCTTCCTTTGTTCGTTCCGTTCGTTCGTTCGTTTCGTTTGCTCCGTTCGCTTCGTTTGGTCGTTCGTTCGTGCGTCCGAAAACTGACTGATTTTTACCATTGGGATCTTTTGCCTGCTTATATAGGAAGCCCGCGGTGACGTAGGATACGGCGGCGCCTGCCCTGTCCTGTACCAGTGTCGAAGTGGATGGACTACGTTCGCGTACCTGGCCGTTGTCCCCTCGCCTTAACACGTGTACACAAGGGATGCAACCCCCTTGGTTGATTATACTCACGAGCGTCGTACCCCCTTGTCTGCACGTGCCTCGCTGGCGCCACTCTTCTTCGCCGGCGCCAATGTACGCTTTGATGGTGCAACTCCCTGACTCCCACATGCTGGCGCCACCCTCCGCCGCGCGGTGTTACGTGAGGTGCCACTCCCTGACCTCCCACATTCGGCTCGCTTATGCGGAAGCCCCCCTCCCTTAGGAAAACTCTCCATCTTGTTCGCGGTGGTTGGTCTGGACGCATCTGCAGCCCGGATATTACGCGCGTTAAGCATGAGAACAGGCCCGCCTCGCGGTGCCTTTTCATCGAATTTCGCTGCCCCTCTATGTTTATAACTTTTATAAGCAAGGCCTCTGGGTACTACAGAAAAGCCGCATATCGTCAAATTGAGCAGCGTTCTGGGCGATTTGCAGAAATCATTCGGGACTCTGTCCCACGTTAGGGCGAGAATAAATCCAATGGATCGTAATTGCTAATTTGTTTAGGCTTCGGCGCTTTTAGGTTTTTTCTTCTAGAAAAGCGATTTTGAAGTTTTATTTAATCTTAACGCCCTGAAGTCTATTCTCGTCATATGCGGTCCCATAGATGCGCGACGAGGCTACTTCTTCGAGGCGATTTTCAGAGAATTTTCCTAGACAACGAACGGCGAATTAGGCTTAGACTGCACCCGGTGGAGAGTTCGACACGCTGCAGATAACTATTAACTTTAGTGTAGCCATAAGATTCTTGGCCGAAGTTATCGTGCGCCACCAGTCTAGCTTCGAACGATGACGTCGAGTGTAATTCTCGTAGCACATCTATAGGACACCGCAGGCCTCACTGATTGCATGCGTGTTTACACTTGACGAATGCGATAGACGTTTATGTGGAACAGACCACAGCCGTATTCTCTGAGCGTCTGTTATTTACCCCCCATGCTGTTGATGTTTCGAATCAGACGTCAGACTTCAAGCCATTGTGTATATTATAGCAAGAGCCAGACTCAGCAGCATGTAGCTACCTAACGTGACATTTATATAGTTGTAACGTACTAGGACGATAGGCCCGTTACGGCCAGCGCAGGTAGGCAGATAGGCAGGCCGCGGCGCTGTCCGCATGTAGCCGGGACAAGCAATGCTGCCTTCCAGCGACCATGTCACGCAAGACGAGAAGAAGGTCGCCGATACAATTCTTCGGGTTCCGATTCGGATTCGAAAATATCGGATTCGCGAAGAAAGAAAGCAGAGCGCCAAACAGTTAAATCGTAAGCGGCGCTATATAGTACTACAGCTAGTCTCTCGATATTGCTATGCCCCGAGGATATTGCAGCGTATATCATGTCTCCGCCAGGCCTCAGTAGACATAGATATATTATTGCTGTTAAATTGCAATATTTGGCGCCTTTCTTTCCGTCAGTGTGGTGTTTATAGCTCTTTGATACATAGTACATATATATTACATTAGTACTATGTTATTAAGAGCAGAATAATTCTTATAGTAACCGATTACAACTTTAATTTTTAAAGTTCAGGGGGGGTATCTTTTACGCAAATATTGAAAGTCAGTTTAATTTCAACCGTTTGCTTTACTATCTTGTACTATACTCTACTAATTCTCTAGTACAAGTAGGGGGCACAGGAGTTTGTTAGTAGCTAGTACAACTTACAGTAGACAGTTATAAGTTGAGTTATCCTCTGTTTGCTTGTTACTGAGATTTTTAGAATTGTATTGCCTTATATTAACTAAAATATAAGCGACATAGAAGCTAGCGTGTTATGCTTAAGGTTAGGATGAACATCGTATTATAAAACGCTATAGACGATACAGCTACAGGAATATGTTAGAATTTATTTTCGTACAGTTACCTGACAAAACCATGACTTACATATTCCACGTTAAATTATACACACAGGAACACTCGATTCTATAATTAACCAGGGTGGTGATTCGACTCGTATAAGTAAAGTTGGTGTCTAATTGATATTTAGCAAAACCTGTTAAAATTGAAATCATCTTCCTTTCAATAGGGCGAGGGATTGTAGTGTTTAAACCCTGAGGTTAGCTGACAACGTAACTAAAGCGTTGCACAACGTAAACAGAAAGCATAGAACAGAAATGCTTTTTGCGCTATACTCTGCGAGGGATATTATGAATTGCCCATGACCTTCGTGAAATACAGCCAGCATGGTCGGTTCGGGAACGATTTTCTTGTGTGAGCTATCGTGACTGTAAGTTTTAGGTTAGGGTTTTGCAAATTTTATACGTGCACCTGCATTCATGCCACTCCACGAACCTATTCTAAAATCGGCTCTTCTATTTTTCACAGTTACTTGAAATTTTTACCATAATCCATACATCACGTATATATATGTTTGCACAGCTCTCAATTATCATGCTCGTACTATCGTCGTTAACAATAATTATCTCATAATAGTCCTATTATTTACTATTTCTAACCGCCAGTTATCAATATTCATAATGCGCCTACCCTACCCCCCAATCATTGACATATGAAATAATATGGCCAACTTTCAATGACTGTCACACAAGATGAGCACACCCAATTTGAGCAATCGGTCCTACTTGCTTCATTCCTGTCATTTACAACTTTGGTTAATGCACAAACCTATGCCGGTCGTCGCCGGCGAGTTATGTCGTCTTAGTGCTGTTTCTCAAAGAAATTTACAGCACTTGGACATTTTACCTCTGCATGCTGCTCTATTAGCTGCATTTACATGTGATCGCTAATAATTGGTACAATCGGTCGGTACATACCAGCTTAGCTGACTATGGGGTATGCGCAGGGGGCGGATCCAGGGGCGGGGCGCGCGTGCGACCGGGCGCGGCGGGTGGGGGCGCACGCCGCCCCGTAAAAATTCGTTAGTTTGCCTTTTTTCTCGGCCCCGAGCGGCGCCTTCTTTTTCTCTGGCGCCCGAGGGCCCTTTTTTTCGTTTGGTCCGGCGCTCGCAGGCGGTGGCTCGCGGCGAGAGAACGGCATGTGGAGGCGGGGCCGGCGTGTAGTTTCGAGTTACATTTTTGGCCGGCCGCGGAGCCGGCGCGCGGCGGCGATAGATATTCTACAGGGAGTGAATAATAATAGATTATTGTTAGAATTATTATAGATAGTCCATATATTTAGACTTACGATATCTACAGGGACGTGAACTGAATAATAGGTTATTGTTAGCATCTATTATAGATATCATGGGGGAGGGCCCCCCTATAGTGGGACATTCCCGCAGTCGCGTGCGCCTTCCCGCGGAACTGCGCGCAAGATCTGCGCTCAGCGCTTCAGATCAACACCTCCTTTCGGCAACGCTTCTCTAGTATCCCGTCTCATCTGGTTGTATGACGTCATCCCCCCTGAACTCTCCACAACTCTTCACTTCCCCCCTGAAATCCCCACACTAAAAACTACACATAAACTAGACACTACTAACACATGTACCACAACACTCGTAGTACATACAAACCAAAAACCCCCACTTTTGTCTCGCGCGGCCTCTTATAAACGGCCCGCTACGGTGGTGTCCGCTAAGAACGCCTCCGACTAAAATACTTCTATTAGCACTATTCAACTCCACTAGGTGTCGCTACACTATCATATCTATCTAAAACTTTACACGTTTACAACATATTTCCCACACCAGGCGTCGCCACTTATCTACGAATTCCCTAAGTTGACGCCCCTGTTTCTGATCGTCAACACATTCCTTTATCACCTGTCGGACCTGGATTTTCTTTAATCTAACATCTTTACATCCTGCTAAGGCTGTCAACACGGATGGGCGTGGGGTTTGGTTTTCTACTCTTTCGTACATGTGCTAAGGCAACCCAGAAATGGCACCGCCTTAGCGAGTGGTTAGCTCATTGAATATTCATAAACGCGTGACACATATATCCACGCCGCGTTGTCAACCCGCGATACACTAAACATACATGTTCTAAGGCAGCACGCTAGGATTAGCGTGCTAGCAGCTAGTGCGAATGACCTTGACTTGCTGGCTGGCTAGCTAGCGCTGCGCGCTGCAACACAACATATACATATATTGCACATATATACACTAGTTATACACGGGGAAGTAATTTAAATAATTGGGTAACAGCGCACTGTTACATCACTCCCCTGCAAATAACTTGCTTGACTCAATGTCAACAAGTGTTGTCCCAAGACATGTAACACACTTTCTACCGCTCACCACTAATTATCACTCGGATACTACGTGAGAAAGCTTAACTACGTTACATGTCAATTCATTTCACAATGCTTCATTTGTTTTTATCATATGCTATCCGTTACCTAACAATTAACACTCATCACTACACAATAGCAAGAAATTTGTGTATACAATGATACAGCCTCAAAATAATATTGAATATAATTACCCGCGCAAAATACAATAAGAAAAACAAACCGAAACAAGTGTTTTACGGCCGAATGCGATTCCTGACGCCACCTCCGATTTGTCGCCTCCTACGGCATGCAGGAGATACAGTAGGTGTATTCGTATGCGAAACTTAATGCCTATTGGTACAACACGAATGTGCTCAGCTAGTACTATAAATCGATAATCTTATCTCCCAACACCCCTAAACACCTAAATAAGTATGTAATTCTACCGCATCCTGCTGGTGCGTGCGCGATGGGGCGGGGAAGGGGGAGTGGGTGGTGTTATGTATTGACGAAGAGTGATAAAGACTCATAAAGAAGTTTAATACTGGAGCTGGTACCTGTTCTGCCTAGCAGCCATACGAACTGGCCAACAAGAGAGCGCGGTATCAATGCGCTCCGACCCAACAACAAGGTTCTACAAAACAACATGTGCATGCGCACAGTAGGTAGTCCCTACTATTACAGGTGGGGCAGGTGGCGCAGACTCAACTAGATCCGGCGGCGGTGCCGGCCCTACAACGGCGTCCCACGTAAGGGTAGGCGAGGCCGCAGGTCGTGTTGAGACAAGTACGGGGGTGGGTGTGAACCGACGTTGATAACAACACACTGCATTAGTCTTCTTACAGTAAAACCAAATGATCTCCGCACAACCGATGGCGAGCAACGCATAAATGGCAAACTGTTGCCACTGCCCACCCGAAAAACCAACTGAAGCTCCCAACAATGGAAATGCTTCACCTGCACTCAAAATACGACGACTGCTAGCAATGCAATCTTTCAATTGCTTATACGGTATGTCAAACGCTTTAATGGCGTACAGCTTCGAAGGTAAAATTGAAGCAGGCAGCAAATCGGTAGCGTTTCCCCGACGAACCGCTAATGCTGCCAAATCACGCCAAATGGTAGGCACTGACAACTGTGGCGGCAACATTTGCTGTATATAAGTAGTAATATCAACACGAGAATCGTGATGATAGAAGGTCGGCAAAGTGAACGAAGGTGAGGGAGCCGAACACCCAGAAGCCAGGGTGACAACCTGCTGCGAACGAACGTGAATGTCGGTATTCACCAGAGGTGTGTCATGCTCGGATTGACATGAAACAGTCAGAAGAAATGGTTTGATTGGTGTTATTAGCCAGTTGCCGTTTGTAAGATACGCCACATGATGTTTTTGTTGCCGAGAAATGTTAAGACGTCGCGGACAACGCTGGTGGATGTGCTCCTCTTGATTAAGAAAAAGTTATACTACGCAGTCGGATAAACCGGCTACATAGTAGATTTCTGATGCAGACTGACAAATGTCCTGGTTAGCATCCAGACATTTCCGCATTAGGTCTGCCTTTGGATAAAAATAACGTGCCCGATTCTGTGCAAAGGCCACGTACTGTGAATTTATATCATAATACACGTAAGGAGTCGAGTTGGAAATAAACACCGGTGTAGGTATAATCTGGTAAACGTCAAATATCTGACCAAAGTGTTTCAAAGGCAAAAATGTCAAAACGTAAAAAGACGTAACTGTGGGTACAACTTATGTTTTCAACAGATCATAGTAATAAAGGATGCCCTCCTCAATATCCCTCGGCAAGGCGAGATAGTCCGGTAACGTTTCTTTAATGGCTCGTAGTAACGTTCGAAGTTGCGCCGACGATATCAAAGATATCGCTAATTTGCCCGCCAAAAGATCACTTAGTGCCTGCTCTAAACCTGTAATAACATTCGTAACATTATGGAGTGCCATCATTAGTGCATCAGTGGTAGACTGAAGCCGACTAAGCGTGGATAATTTATCATCCGTGGACGCAGCTAACCAGTCAGGCCGGTGAGTAGCCCTATTTAAAAACTTGCGTAAGTCATCTGTACCATCAATCAGATCATTTATGGTGGCTCTATTGAGCTGCACCTGGGTGTGGGTGATATTAAAAACAGTTAAACTATCCTCCAATGCGTGCTGGAAAGCATCTTAAGACAATCGAAACTGGGACAGTCTCAAGTCCAGTCGCGCGATATCCTCCTCATTCGCTGTTCCGTATAGGAACTTCTGAATTTTCCCCATAAATGGTAGAAGCAAACGCTTAGGGCATTGCTTGACAAACATACTTGTGAGACCTTGCAATCTATTAACTAAACGCCTATGTTTCAAACGAAAGGTAGTTGCGTGTGAATCAACAAATTCATGTACAGTATTCTGAAAACGTCTGAAATTTGGATCGGTAGTATTGTAATGTTGACTGGGTCGCTCCTTAAGCATATATCTAATTTGCCTGTCAATTCCGTTTATGTAGGCCGTGATTGTCTGAATCTCAAGGGTAAATGCCAAAGCCCAAGTCGATTGGGTAATGGCCATAGTCCCCTTCGGTACGAACACAGCCCCCTGTGTGGCTGCCATATCACCAAGGGCTGTGCCAACGCACAGACCGAATTTGGAAGAGGAATATGAAAAACCTCTTAGTGTCTAGGCCATACCTTATTGAAATAACTCTTAACTCGAGTAACAAGAGTTTTATTCTCAGCTCCTTGCGATACCACTCTTACGCGTGGCTCCTGCACTATAGCTACTGATTCCACAGAATGTGCACTTTCTGGAACCATAGGTATAGTATTAACCTAAACATCTGGCGTCTCTGCCTTCTTGTTATGTACATCTTGCGTGAGCTGCTGAACATCTCCTGATGAGAAAGTAAAATTTAAATACTCCCGTCCAAGATGTGGGCGCCTGAACTCCACATAGCTATCGGCGTCTATAGCTTTACCAAAATCCTTCCTAATATCCTTCTCGATTTCCTTCCTAATATCCTTCGTGATCACGCTTTCATCTCCTCCCGTTTCGACAGGCTTCTGTAAACTGACCGCAGGCACCATTAGATGCGCCTTTGTTGGAGCGGTCGTTATGACGGCAATCTGTGCTGTCGTATTAGTTGAGCCGTATTCGGGGTCTCCCTCTTCAGTTAATCATGCCCGCTTCACAGGCTGTACCAGAACATTCAATTCACTTGTTCCGTCGCTCGCCTTCCGTCTTTTGAATGACTGGTTACTACCAGTTTCCTCTTTTGATTGTGGTTCCATATCAGGACTTATGGATCTCCCCAATTCCGACGGGGTATAGATGACTGTGTCATCATTACTATCGCCAACTTGCTGAGTGGAATTAGGCTCCTGTGCCTCAATGTCACTTGCAGCTGGATCCATTGCAATTGGATCAACTGCACGAGGCATTGACGGTTGCGGTTGCTCCGTAGAGCCCGCTGAGACCTGCGTCTTTGGCACTGTGATGAAATGACTTAGAGGTAGTTCGTCTTCTTCATCGAACTCTTCGTCACTACTACCCTCCTCGTCGGGTGGATATGCCATTGTCGCTGCCCTATGAGGCTGGCGACGTACTCCCTTTGGCATATCTTCTCGTTGTACCGGCTTACTACAATCCCACCAAGCTTGTGGGTGTGCTGCTCGCATATTCTCCACATGTGAGATCACTTCTCTCTTCGTGATCTCGTGTTGCAGGAGATATTTCTTTGGACTCAATACCTTTACCACGACGTAGTAAGGATGCCAAGGCGATGCTAACTTGCAAATGGGATTTGGCTTGAGTACCGGATTATGGTAGTAGACGGGGTCACCAACTTTGAAATTGAGCTGCTTAGCTCGCTTGTCATAATGGTACTTGTTCTTAAGACGTGCCAGACGCGTTCTATCTCTATTTGGTCGGCGCTTTAGGTTTTCTTCTAGAAAAGCGATTTTGAATTTATTTAATTTAACGCCCTGAAGTTATTCTCGTACATATGCCGTCCCATAGATGGCGCGACGAGGCTCTCTTCGAGGGATTTTCCAGAGAATTTTCCAGACAACGAACGGCGAATAGGCTTAGACTGCCCCGCGGTGGAGAGTTCGACACGCTGCAGTAACTATAACTTTAGTGTAGCCAAAGATTCTTGGCCGAGTTATCGTGCGCACCAGTCTAGCTCGAACGTGACGTCCGAGTGTAATTCTCGTAGCCATCTTAGGACACCGCAGGCCTCACTGATTGATGGTTGTTTACACTGAGAATGCCGACTAGCCGTTATGTGGAAAACCACCAGCCGTATGTCTGAGCGTCTGTTATTACCCCCCCATGCTGTGATGTTTGGGATCATGACGTCAGACTTCAAGCATGTATATATAGCAGAGCAGATCGACTCAGCAGCATGTGCTACCTAACGTGCATTTATAAGTTGATAACGTACTAGACGTAGGCGTACGGCAGGCAGGTAGGCAGTAGGCAGGCGGCGGCGGTCCGCATGTAGCCGGACAAGCAATGCCTGCTTCCAGCGACATGTCACGCAAGACGAAGAAAGAAGAGTCGGATAGAATTCTTCGGGTTCCGATTCGGATTCGAAATTCGGATTCGGAAGAAAGAAGAGAGCGCCAGTTAATGTAAGCGGGCTATATAGTACTACAGCTAGTCTCTACGATATTGCTAGGCCGAGATATTGCAGCGTAATATCATGTCTCCCCCAGGCCTCAGTAGAATAATATATATTGCCGTTAAATTGCACTATTTGGCCCTTTTTCCGTTGTGGTGTTTATTAGCTCTTGATACATATACATATATATACATCAGTACTATGTTATAAGAGCAGAATAATTCCTTATAGTAACGATTACAACTATTAGTCAGTCTACGCAAATATGAAAGTTCATGTTTAATTTCAACCGTTTGTTACTATCTCTACTAATACTATACTCTACTAATTCTCTAGTACAAGTAGGGGGCCTACAGAGTTTGTTAGTAGTTAGTAGTTATAGTACAACTACAGTAGACAGTTATAAGTTGAGTTATCCTGTTTGTGTTACTTTGAGATTTTTAGAATTGTATTGCTTATATAACTAAATATAAGCGACATAGAAGCTAGCGTGTTATGCTAGTGTTAGGATGAACATCGTATTATAAAACGCTTAGAATACCAGGTACAGGAATGTAGATTTATTTTCGTAACAGTACCTGACAAAACCATGACTACTATATTCCACGTTAATTATACACACAGACACTCGATTCTATATTAACCAGGGTGATTCGAACTGCGTATAA